CCAATTTACAGAAAGCATTTGTGACTGTTCAGGACACAGTGAGCTCTGCAATGCTAGTTAGTCAAAGTCAAGTCAAAGTTTACTTATATAGCGCTTTTTACAACAGGTGTTATCACAAAGCAGCTTTTCAGAAAAATCCGTGTCTGAGCCCCCATGAGTGTCGCCAATGGTGACAGTGGCAAGGAAAAACTCCCTAAGAGCAAGAAGAAGAAACCTTGAGAGGAACCAAGACTCAAAAGTGGAACCCATCCTCCTCTGGTCCACACCGGATAGCGAACAGCATTAGTATAAAATATTATAATACAAAACGGGGAAAACAGGTGGAGCACTGGTTAATTAGAGAGTTTGAGTTTATGCAGCAGCAGCAGCATCAGAAGGGTCAGTTCATGAGGGTGAGGTTTGCAGGGCGTTGTACAGCATGAAGCTCAATGGTGGTCAAACTGGTCCAGAAGGCCTGTCGTGCAGTGGCACCCGATCAAGGCAGAAGAAGCAACAGCATCAGACGCACAGGATGGGCAGATGTTCAACTCGGCAAAGAAAAGGAAACGCACGGAAAGTCAGTTCTGTAAAGAGTGACTGATCACAGATTACAGTGTTAACAGAGCAGCAGAGACTCCGGCAGGTCTAGTTATTACGGCCTCACTAAAGGGGAGAAAACAGAAAGGTAACAGAGTCATGAGGCTCCCTGAGATGTTGGCACCCCTCCACTCCACCGTCAGCAAACCTGAGTGAGTGAGTGAGGCAGCGGGACGACAGCACCAAAACTCCCAGTTTACCATAATACTCTATGACAATGAACCCCCAGATCTGCACCTTTTATCTGACAGGGAAAACTAATTACCAAAGGCTCCACTAAACAAGTAAGTTTTTAGCCTAGACTTCAAGACTGAGGCTGTGTCTGAGTCCCGAACACGGACTGGAAGATTATTCCAAAGCTGGGGGGCTTTGTATGAGAAAGCTCTCCCCCCTGATGTAACTTTATTAATTCTAGGTACTACTAGTGAGCAGCACCCTGTGATCTAAGTAGGCGTGATGGTTCATAGTAGGAGAGAAGTTCACTCAGGTACTGAGGGGCGAGTCCGTTTACAGCTTTATAGGTCAGTAAAAGAATTTTGTAATCGATGCAAAATTTAACTGGCAACCAGTGCAGGTTTGATAAAACTAGGCTGATATGGTCAAACTCTAGTTCTTGTGAGACTCTGGCTGCAGCATTCTGGACTAACTGAAGCTTGTTAAGGGTTTTGCTGGGACATCCAGCCAGGAGGGCATTACAGTAATCTAGCCTTGAAGTAATAAATGCATGAACTAACTGTTCTGCATCCTGTAGAGAGAATGCATTTCTCAATTTAGCAATATTGCGGAGATGCAGGAAGGCTGTTCTAGTAATATTAGTTATATGTGCGTCGAAGGACAGATCAGGGTCTATCATGACACCAACATTTTTTTCCGATGAACCTGATGCAGCTGAGAAATTATTAAGTTTAAGTGTAAAATTACACAGTTTGTTTCTAGCCGCTTTTGGACCAAGAAGCAGAACCGTTTTATCCGAGTTAAGTAGGAGAAAGTTACCCGACATCCAGCCAAGTTGGATTTTATCATCTGGTTTGCTTGATATATATATATCCGAGTGTCATCAGCATAGCAGTGGAAATTGATGCCGTGTTTACTGATAATGGTGCCCAGTGGTAGCATATATAATGTGAATAATACTGGTCCTAAAACAGAGCCTTGTGGAACACCATACTTTACTTTTGTAAGGACAGATGATTCACCATTTATATTAACAAACTGATAGCGATCAGTGAGGTAAGACCTGAACCAGAAAAGAGCTATTCTTACCCCTACAAGGTTTTCTAGTCTATCTAGTAATATAGAGTGGTCTATCGTGTCAAATGCCGCACTAAGATCAAGGAGGACTAGCAAAGACACATTTCCTTGGTCAGAGAATAATAATAGATCATTTACAATTTTCACTAGTGCTGTTTCTGTACTATGATGTGGCCTAAAACCAGACTGAAATTTGTCATGTATATGACTCCTATGCAAAAAGGAACTTAATTGTTTTGCCACAACTTTTTCCAAGATCTTTGATATTAAGGGGAGATTCGAGATAGGTCTATAATTTGATAGTTTGCAGGGATCAAGGTTAGCTTTCTTAATCAGAGGTCTAATTACTGGTCTAATTACTGCTAGTTTAAGAGTTTTTGGGATGTATCCAAGGCTAAGGGAGGAGTTTATTATTGACAGAATAGACTTGGCTATTTCTTTGAGTAAACCTATAGGAATTTAGACTAAAGTATTCATCGGGTCTAATCCACATTTCTGTGAGGCACAGAGCATCAAAATCATGATCGGTAATAATTTAATTTACAACGACGGCTTTAGATGTAAGAGATCTTATGTTAAGCAGTCCGAGTTTTAGACCAAAGGTGCTGTCACTGCAAACTGGTATAACTGGTCTGATATTAATCAAGTTACCAAAGCAAACTTTTCGAGGCTTTTTGATGCTTTGTTTTATTCGGGGACACAGTCTCTATATGTGGCGTCTCAAGGCGGCTCGCAGACGGTTGGTTTAGCCTGTTTGTCTGTTGCCTGGCCTCGGCCCTGGTTTGTCAGCGACTGACTGTCCTACACTGACGGCTATCTGAGAGACTACGAGCTTTGCTACAGGAAATGAGAGCAGCACCCTCCCGCGAGGGGTGGGTACCGTCCAGACTCAAAAGACCAGGCTTGCCCTCAAAAGTAGACCAATTATCTACAAATCCCACATTGTTTTCTGAGCACCACTTGGACAGCAGTTCAGCGAACATAACCTGCTGTAGATTTCGGCGCCACGTCGAACTGGGATGGGGCCAGAGCATATTGCGGCATCGGACATCGTCTGGGCTAATTTACACACCTCTTTAATGTTATCTTTGGTTATTTCTGACCGCCGCAGACGAACGTCATTAGTACCTAGATTAATGACTATCCTCGAATATCTACGGCTAGCTAGCCACCTCAGGTTCCCTCTAATGTCCAGCGCCCTGGCTCCCGGTATACAGCTAACTGCTACTGGCGCCCCTAAGGGAGAAGCTATTCTCACGTGCCGTAAAATAGCATCAGCTGTAACCAGAGCTCTTTCAACAGGCATCTCAGAGGGTCTCACTGAGTGGGGCGAACCTTATGGACACGTGAATGGGAGATGAGTTGTGCTTGCGTGGGGTAGCTTTAGCTTTAGCTTTGCGGCTATGCCGCCGAGACGCCACCCACTCGCCCCGCTGTGAGGGCTCTGCTGCTGGAGTCGAGGGTGTGCTAGCTCTCCCTGAGGCACCCGGAGCCTCTAACAGCGAGTCTGAGTCCTGCTGACTATCCCTGCTCCTTTCTAACTCTGGATGCACCTCTAACTGTATAATCTTCTCCGTCAAACACAAAACTAACTTATACTTCTCACAAACAAAGCTAGAAGCACTGCTGTCACTGGTGACGGAGAGAGAAGCATAACTAAACATGCTGCACTCAGAGCAAAGCAACAGCTCGCGGTCTGCCATTCTGATACTCACAGTGTTTCGTTGGCTGAACTGAGTCCTTTCCAGGGGTCTCGCAAATCCGATGAGAGACGAAGTGACTTTCAAAGGTCGCTGGTTGTAATTAAGTAATTTGCGAGTAATATGCAACAGCGAACTGAAAATGTAAAATGCTGCAAAAGACTAGCAAAATAGAGTGGAGGTAGTTATTAATGATCAAAAAGCAAAACACACGTATTCTCTAAAAACTTGACACAGAGCTCATTTTTGCCACAAATTTATCTACTGCTGGGTGGATCAATATGAAATTTGTTTCATTTGGCAAATATTTGGGTTTTATGTTACTGAACAGAAGTTAGCAGGAAAATGCTGTTTTTCAGTGCCATGCTAGCATCCAATCCACCTTAGCATTCTTGACGCAACTAACAGGGATTTATGTGTATAATTAAGCAGTAGAACCCGAGAGGGAGTGTGTTACCGTGAAATAACATCACGGCTGTGATTTGGTCACCGTAGATCATCACAGCCGTGATGTTATTGGCGATAACACACTCCTCGAGTGTTCTACTGCTTTAATACAACAGTTAAATAAATACAGTAATAAATTAATAAACTGGGCTGTGAACGCGGCGTTTAATATGTTTTAATGTTCGCAGTTCCTTCACCAAATTATAGTTCCTTAATGAGCAGCTCGTTGCTACGTCAGAGTAACGAGCTCCGCCCACTCGCTGCACAGCCGGCACGTTCTCCAGCTCCTTACACTAAATTCCCAAACTGTCATCACCACTGAGCAGCTTTTTAGTTTTTTTTATTGTGTCAGTTTTATGGTTCAGTCCGATCTGACGATCAGACTACACGTTTGGCGAATGGTATTGGGTTCATTTCTGGCTGATTCCAGGTTGTTTAGCTGTTCTTCTGTCTCAGCTGCCAACTGAAAAGCTGCTCAGTGGTGATGACAGTTTGGGAATTTAGTGTCGTCTCATCTTCAGAGTCTGACCAAATCGGCTGTCGGTCAAATGTGATCTTAAAAGTGTCCGTTTTCTGTTTGTGGCAAAGTAAGAAGTAAAAACGTTCAAATGGCTTGAGTGTCTCCTACAGCTATCAGAGTCGTTGCTTAGCAACGGCATCTTAGTGGAGTGATACAGTGTTTGTGAAAAACCCGTGATGTTATGGCGAAATAACAGCACAGTTAGAACGCTTCTCAACCAATCAGCTTGCGCGGCCGGGACTAACTGTTCTATAATCTGACACAATGCATGTAGGAGTATAGCAAAACTCATTTTAGCAGGAAATAAAATGGTGAAAGTCTAAGCTTTGCTCCTGCTTGGTTTGTCAGAAAGTGATTTAGAAGCTCCATCCACACTGATTGGAATTAAGAGACTCTGTTCCTAATCCCAAATATGAAGAGTTAATTTCTTCAGAGCTGGAGCCTTCCAACCATCTGGAGTGCAACAACCCACACAAATGCACTCACATAAAGCTGAGACAGGAGAGTAGAGAGAATATGCCATTTATTATTGTGACAACATCAGTCTAACATCCTCACGTTGCATTAGACATCTGATCATTTCACTGTAAACCATCATGTGGCTTATAAGCACATATATGGCTACTTTCATAGAATATTTGTTAGGAAACAAATATGCTTTATGCTTGATCATGAAATGGTCACATCATTAGAGTCAATAGAACAAGTAGATTTTTTAAATTATTATTCATACAAAATGGTCAAAGCTACAAGTATAATTAAAACATAATTGTCATATATTCATTTTGGGCACCCTAAATTATGGAAACGCTGTAATTACAGAAATGGTGGATTGTCTGTGGTGGGAGTGGCAATAACAAGTTCACTTTGTGGAAGATGGTGGTTGCGGCGACGAAGCAGAAGCATTCGCGTGGTTCTCTTGTGCGTCAGAATCGGGTGGAGAAGCCGGAGAGCTCCAGCTTGGAGATGTCCCTCTCATTTTTGAAAACGGCTCGGGTGATGCGGCTGCTGGGGCTTCCCTCCTTGCTCAGCCACACCTTCCTGTGGAAGAAGAACATGCCCTCTGTTTTAATGCTGTTGACTCAGATGTCTTTACAGTGGTGGTGATAGGAACCAGGGGTCAAAATCACTCCAACACAAATACAGACATTTTATTTACTATCCAAAACCATCAGTGAACCAACACGAGTCTTCAGAGTGTTTATAAGCAATGTTGACATGATAAACTCTGGAAAAATAGGTTTTGTTTGGGTTAATATATTGCCAGATATCATCCTGCCTGTACTTGTCTGCTGTGAATAGAGTAAAAAGTACATTATAAGCCAACAATGCAGTGGAAAATCTGAAATAATACATTTTCTTTGGGGACTGTTTTGCTTCACAGCAACCTTCTTGTACCCCTTCACCGTAAATTGATTAAAATAAATGGATTAACATACATTTTAAGCCAAAACTTTAGCTCAAAGCTATCATCAACAATGTCTCAGGTATAAGACAGTGTGTTCATAACCATTTCATGTAGTAACTTTCTGTGAGGGAGCTTTTAGAGGTGGACGTCTGGTTCCTATCACCACCACTGTGAACAGTTCTGACTCTAAGTTTATCTAGAACAACTCTGAACAACTCTGTTTAGCTCACAGCAAATGAATGATGCAGAAATTGTGGTGGACTTCCCCTTTACATTAGCCTGTGTCCAGTGAGCTGGTTCCAACCTCTGTGTTATAACGCATGGCTTTTTATTATTAAAATATAAATGAATTGTTGTGGTAACCTTTCTAACATAACTACACACTAAATAATGTTTATGTTGTACATGCATAGACAGGTTGTGCATAAATAATCTCTGTGCTAACACAGCATTTACTGTGCCAAGCTGATGGTGATTCACTAAGAGGACAGAAAAGATGATGCAATTCATTCAGTCGTTTTGTTTAGTAGCTGATGGGGTTTGTCTGATGAGACAAAAGTAAAAAACAATGCAAAAAACTGAGATTTCCAACTATCGCGTTTAGAGTCAGGGAACTTAAACAGACAGCGAGACTCCGCCCACCACCTGTGAGCTGTTTCTTTAGCAGTTTCCTGGGCATAAACGCAATACACACATATTTAGCAATTAATTTTTCAACAGTGATATTTTTATGGTTTAAATTATGACTTTAGGGATACTTAAAATCTTTAATTTGTCTTCTTTTCATAAAGGAACACTTCAGCAAGCAAAGAATGCTAATGGAACTAACAATGGGCCTCATTGTCCAATAGCTTTTTAAGTTTTTTCTTACATGTGTTCTTGAGAAAGGTCCTAAGATAAGTCTATGCCAGATTCATGACGTGTTCTTTCACTGTAAAAGATGATATCTTAGATCTTAAATCCAGTCTAAATATTGAATATTTCTTATTTTACAATGATTGTAGGAATATTATATGGTTATTTAATTTATTTTTGGACTTTTTTACATGTTTAATTTTGTTAAGTGAAGTAATCTTCCCATATCAGCTCACAATAGTGCTTGTCTCCAGCATTATTTCTTAAAGCAAGCAAATTATCTGCCAATACAGTGTGATAATTTCACTTAATAAAATGATTTTAAACGAGTCAAAAATGTCTAGCTGGTTGAAATCTAGCTAGCTGAGCTATTGTTAGCCACATTATTGTTTGAAACCAGTGTTTAAACTGGAACTGAATGCTGAGTATCGCCCAAACTCTGTGCAGTATTCCAGCTGGTGGTGAGAGTCCCTGCAGAGCTGGCTTTGGCACACATTGGAGAATAAGGTCACCAGCAGCATATAGGTCAGTCAAGCCTGGAACAGATGATTACAGTGTGTAGATTAGCGCAGCGCAGACTAGCACAGTGTCAGCTGACCCACCCATAACAACTGCTTTTGAGATTTCCATTGAGAGACAAGTAGAGTCACAAACACACACACAACAAACACACAGCAAAAAACGGCAGATTTAACAGCAATTTAGCAGCTTAATGCTAAATCACACGCAACATCTGGGGCTAATCTAATCCCCTTTCATTTTCCAAAATGAAGCAGGGGATTGCTCTCTGCAAATGTGTCCGAATAAGCCATGTTGTTGTTACGAAGTAAACACGAACATACCAGATACGGCAGATTATGAACTGTGTAGCATGAGATTTTATATGTACTGTATTAGGTTTTGTCCCACAAGATCTAAAGCTCTATTCAGATGGGGTTTTACATGGAGAGGTGGAGTAGTGTGATTTTACCACAGGACGTCTAGTGTTTACGACCGTTTAGCACGATATCTCGGTATAAATTGCAGAGTTGGGAGTGGCTACTTGATTTACGCATTGCCATCTTCACTAATGAGTTCCATGCGCAATGCGTTTGGCTACTTACAGTAAGAAAACATGTCCAAACCTTTCATTTCATCGTAATTTCTTTTACGCTAAGCTGTATGTGAATGCAGTATGTCATTAGTGTGGGAATTTACAGTCAACATTGTCACATAAAATCCCTTTTTTTCTGTCATTTTATGTTTTAATATTCAGAGCCATTCTCTTAAGATAGGTTGATGCATACTGACTGGATTTGGGCTGCAGAGAATACAAGCAAAGGCTTTACCAAGCACAGTTAAGAAAAACCACCGAAGCTCCTATTCCACAGGATATTATGGATTATTTACTGACGCGGCAGTTCGCAGGGGATTAATGTAACCTGGGATTATTTCTGCTTTTCACTGTATGGTAGGTAAAAGGCACAGGAACCTTTACAGACGCAGGAGCTCCTCAAACGGGACTAAAATCACTGAGAAACACTAGAAACACTTAAAAGACCCCATCTTCCCATGTAGATCCCTATTGGAGCTGGAATAGTTCTACTAGAGGAGGTCCGGTAATGTACTTTGTAAGGGGTTTGACTGGCTGATTTGTAGGATAAAGTATCTGTCTAATTTCCCAAATTACCCCAAATAGACCAGATCAAAACGTCGCAGCCTGGATGTTCACTTCAGTGGTAAGATCAGAATTAAACAGACCCGAACAAACAAACAACAGAAACAAACTTCCAGTTAATATCAGATGGAATAGCATAAGGCTAGCAAAGTCAGATCTTTCAACTTGCCCAACAGGACAGTCTCACTGCCTTGCGAGAGGAACCTCCAGATATTTTATTATTATTCTCCTTTTAATTAGTCCAGCACCAAAACTGGGTTTAAGCCGAGGTTAAACTTCACACTTTCACCCCGATTTTAGCCCCAGTTCTCAGCCTGTGCTGGTTGGCTGTAGCAGATTTTTAGGTCAGAGTCAACAGTTGGAAAGAGAATCGAGTCATGTGTGAGGGGCGCAGACTCAGATTTACTGCCTCCCGATCACGTTTCCCAATCGACCCGACTCTGAGTGCAATCTAGTGTAAACTAGCCAACCACTCAATCTGAACCGACTCCTCCACCAGCCAATGAAAACTGAGAGCGCGAAAGAAGAAAATACAGCAAGTAAACAAAGATGGTGAAAAGTCTCTCACGTGTGGAGTGAAGCTTTTCAATGAGCTGAGTTTAAGGCACAATCAAGTTTATGTAGATTTAAAACTCTAAAAATACCAACTGATCACATTTTTAAATCCATGATTTTCACTTAAACATGTTTACCTGCTGCTTCTTTACTGTTTCAGCGCAAACGGCAGAGAAAACAGCAGCAGCAGCAGCTCATGTTTGTTTATTTGCATCTCCTAGTAGCGTGAGAACATGTGAATTCAGTGAGCTCCGTTCGGTTCAGCAGCAGCTTAAAAGTTGAGTAGTGTGTGATCCCTAATCATTTAGTGAGGATCCAATATTTCAGTCGCCCAAAAACATCTGCAAAAACCAGTCTGATAGTGTGAGACGCCCAGTATTTATAATCTGTTAAGACTTCAAAGGTCGTGTAGTGAACCCAAGGCTTTAGGTTGTAGTCCTGTTTCGAACTTGAGGATAAAAGAAACTGTGCCAAGAGCCAGTTTAGCAGTTAGCCTCGACTCCGGCTCGCCAAAAAAACAAGCACTGATTTTGTTTACTGTCGATTCGAACAGGATTACCGTCACTGAGCTCGAGTTATAGAAGGCAATTTGCAGAAAGCATTAAAAATATGGACATTGCAGATTCATAGTGGGTTAAAGCCACAGTAATCTCCAGACCATCCACCCAGTACTTCCAACCACAGGAATTATACCTTTCATCTGTGTTACATATGTTGCAAATATGTCCTCTGAAGTCTAGCAACTGTGTTTCACTCTGCAGCTCTGGAGCCACTCAGTTCTTGAACAAACTGTAGTTTGGGTCCAGTCTCAGCCTGCATAAGTGAATTAGCCCATTTGGACGTGCACCACAGCAAGAATAATCAAATCAGTCTCAGGCTGCAAGAAAAGAGGAGCTGTTTTGATGAAAGTACATACCACATGTAGTATAAAACAACGGACCTAAACACAATACACATCATAGGTGATGTCTCACATGGACAAACCATGAAAAATGACTTTAAAAGGGACAGTTTGGTGCAAAATCTAACTTACACAGTTACTCAAAAAGGTCAGTCAAGACTTGTTTGGTGTCTAAGGGCCTTTTTCTGGAGCTTTGATGCTAATGTGGCTAACAAGTAACGAAGGTTATACCTCACCAGTTAGCATCGTATGCCTAAATCACTGCACACTTGCCTCAAACCATGTTCAGTTAAATAAACGGTTCACCAAAATGTGAAGGTTTATTTTATTCTCCCTTACGTCAAATGTAGTCAATTAGCCTAGACATGTGTGGTGTCTGAAGCTATGAAGCTAATGCAGCTAACAAATAATGGAAGTCTAGGTAATCTGAAATACTTGTTAAAGTGGTTTCTAAGACTGTATAACATACTGTTGTCTATAACCTGCTTAACTCGGTGGGGTTTGAGGCAAGTGTGTAGATTTAAATAGGCAGTTTGCATGATGCTAATGGGTAGCATAGAATCCTCCACTGGTTGGTAGCTTTGTAGCTCCAATGCCAGACAAAAGAAGCATACTTTAAACACCAAACATGCTTTGGCTCATGTGTGGTAAGGGGGAAATTGTGT